GTCTTTATTCTTAGACAGTGTATTGACTGCTGACTTAAATGCTCATTTAATCACATAATATAAGTAATAAAAATAGATGATTGTTGTCTTTGTTTTATGTCGTATATTTGCCACGCAGTAAAATCCCTAATGCCTAAATGCCATGTATCTGTACTAGATCATTTGATTTTTACCAATGTCTTACGTTTGCCATCTTAAGCATTTTTATATATGGAATTTTCTTCATAATTAAATCCTGATCATATGACCATATATAATGTAGCTGTAAAATGTGAAACTTATTGTTCTAAATTTTAAATTCCAATTGTTGCGTCATATTATAAGCATAATAGCGCTCAGCGCAGTAACCGTGCTATTGCCATTTGAGTTTTAATGCTTTCTTGTTCCATTTGCATCTGTTCCCACATGTCTTTTACCATGCGAGGATGCCGACCAAGAAGTGAGGCGATTCTAGACCACCTGGCACCGTGTGTGTCATATAGCTCTTTGAGCATAGCACGTTCGATTAGACCAAACGGGCCATCATCTGTTGATTTCAAATAATACATATTTTTTCAGTAGTATACAGCGTAAAAAGAAGTAACAATGCTAAATCACAAAGAAGAGAGAGACTGACTTCCAGGGCGTAGGACATTGCACCATCTTAAATAAATACAATAGTTTATTGTTCAATCGCGTTAATATAATCAACGCACATACTGTAAAAGAGAATATACTAATAACATAATCAACAGAATTTACCTTGCAGCACAATCGTGAGGAGATCTGGTACCCAATTCAAGCGATATGTCATGCCATCTCAAGCCGCGTAAATGGCGATCGATCAGAACAGCATCCTCCTACACCCAAATAATAATTGATTAAGCGATATGGTGTATTCAATATAATTGGACAATCGTTACTACTATTGTAAATGCGATAATATTACCCAAGAGCTCCAATTTTCCATTGTAAACTGATTGTAATAACACTAGTGCGAGCAATTGGCAATTAATGGCACGACAATGATTGCGAAGATCAAGGTTT